TCGCCCTGGCTCTGGGAGGGGAGTGGGGTCTAGTGGTTAGAGCTGTGGGGGCTCAGAGCCAGGACTCGTGGGTTCTCGCCCTGGCTCTGGGAGGGGAGTGGGGTCTAGTGGTTAGAGCTGTGGGGGCTCAGAGCCAGGACTCCTGGGTTCTCTCCCTGGCTCTGGGAGGGGAGTGGGGTCTAGTGGTTAGAGCTGTGGGGGCTGGGAGTCAGGACTCCTGGGTTCTCTCCTGGCTCTGGGAGGGGAGTGGGGTCTAGTGGTTAGAGCTGGGGGGCTGGGAGTCAGGACTCCTGGGTTCTCTCCTGGCTCTAGCAGTTAGCCCTTCCCTTCCCCCCGCAGACCGCGTACACCATCCCCATCTTGGCTTTCGCATTCGTCTGTCACCCGGAGGTGCTGCCCATCTACACAGAGCTGCGCAGGTGAGGGGCGGAGAGAGGGAAGGGCCGGGTGGGTTCAGGGACATCGAGTCAGTGGGAAGGGAGTGGGGTCCAGTGGGGGGGGGCTGGGAGCCCGGACTCCTGGGTTCTCCCTGCCAGCCCCCAGGGCAGGGCGGCGTTTGACCCCTCTGTCCCCCGCCAGAGCCTCGAGGCGGCGCATGCAGAGCGTGGCGAACGTCTCCATCCTGGCCATGTTCATCATGTACCTGCTGACGGCCATCTTCGGCTACCTCACCTTCTACGGTAAGGCAGTGCGGGGCTGGCCCCCTCCAGCAGGGGGCGCAGGGTCCCCTTCCCAGGGCTCGGCTCCCCCCTCGCTCTCCGCACTGACCCCATCAGCGCCCCCAGCACCCTCTCTGACCAGCCCCTCTCCCCCCCCCGCAACCCCACCGCTACGGCTGTGCGTCCCTCCCGGTTCCTCCACCCCTCACCGGACCCAGCTGGGCTCCCAGCTAACGGCCGGCCCTCCGGCCCTTCCGTGTCCCACAGGGAACGTCGAACCGGAAATGCTGCACACGTACAGCGAGGTGGATCCCCTGGACCGGCTCATTCTCTGCGTCCGCCTGGCCGTGTTGATGGCCGTCACACTGACAGTGCCTGTGGTGCTCTTCCCGGTATGTGTCCCAGCTGCTCTGCCCCAGAGGCGGCTGCATCTCGGCGCTAGGCGAGCTGTCTTGGTGTGGTGTTATGTGTGGCTGTTCCCTCGCTGCTGCACCCCAGAGGCAGCTGCATCTCGGCGCTGGGTGAGCCACCGCCGTATCCCTTACTTCTTTCCTTGTCTCCTCCCAGATCCGCAGAGCCATCCAGCAGCTACTCTTCCACGGGAAGGATTTCAGCTGGGTTCGGCATGTGAGCATCGCTATCTGCCTTCTGTTCTTGGTCAATCTCCTGGTCATCTTTGTCCCTAACATCCGGGATATCTTTGGAGTCATTGGTAAGTCCCTGGCTTCAAATGGGCTGGGGGTTGGCCCTCCAAGGCGAACTGTCTCCATGCAGCATTATATGCGGCTGTTCTCCAGTTGCCCCGCCCTGGAGGTGGCTGCGTTTCAGCGCCAGGCAAGCCATCCCTGTGCGGCGTTATGTGTGGCTGCTCCACAGCTGCCTCATCCCACCCCAGAGGTAGTTGCATCTTTGACCTTTCTCCTCTCTCTTCCCAGGCGCCACCTCCGCACCCAGTCTCATTTTTATCCTCCCCAGCATCTTCTACCTCCGCATCGTTCCCAATGAAAAAGAACCGCTGAGATCCAAGCCAAAAATCCAGGTACCCACCGCTGGGGGGGGGGTGCAGTGCCCTGGGGAGCGGGGGGCTCGGTGCGGGGGCACCATTCTGTGGCGAGCAGGGGGCTCGGTGGGGGGTGCCATGCTGTGGGGTGGGGGCGGGGAGCTCAGCGGAGGGTTCTGTGCTGTACTTTGGGGCTCACCTTGTCCTCCCCCTCCCGCCCCCCAGGCTGCCTGTTTCGCTGCCCTCGGCTTAATTTTCATGGTGATGAGTCTCAGCTTCATCGTGGCTGACTGGGTGACGACTGGACGGAGCAGCAGCGGGGGGCACTGACCCGCCCCCCCCGCCGACCCCCGGCACAGACACATGGACCCCACTGGGCCGGCTCGGGGGGCCCAGCCGTCGCTGGGGCAAGGGCACCGCCACCTCCCATTGGCCTTTGCTCCGCTGCAGCCATGGCAACGCTGAGACCAACGCTAGGGCCGCCCATTGCCGACTGTTACCATGGCAACGCTACAGACCCTGGCAGCGACTGGTGTCCATGGGAACGGTGCCAAGGCCCTTCCATCGACTGTTACTGTGGCAATGCTACAGCGACTGGTTTCCATGGAAATGGTGCGAAGGCCCTTCCATGGGCCACCTGTTACCACGGCAATGCTACAGCTCTTGGCAGCGACTGGTGTCCATGGGAACGGTGCCAAGGTCCTTCCATCGGTTGACTGTTACCGTGGCAATGCTACAGCTCCTGGCAGTGACTGGTTTCCATGGGTATGGCGCTAAGGCTCTCCTATGTGTGCCCTGTAGTCATGGCAGCCTCCCATTTCCATGGGACAAAGGTCCTGATTGGCCCATCGGTGCCATGGCAACGGCAGGTTCCCCACGACTACTGAGTCGCCTGACTACAGCGCAACTGGGTTCTCCTTAGCTCCCTGTCGCCGTGGCAACATGGCAGGTCCCCAGGGGAACAACACCAGGCCTTTGTTGCTGTGACAACGCTTGGGCCACTGCTGGAGTGGGTGGGTGGGGGGTCCCATAGCAACAGTTCCCTCCAGACAATGCCTCCCACCTCTTTGGTTCCCATGGAGACAGGAACACCCCCTCTCCCCCGCTTGTACTCATTCCCTGGCATCAGTCGAAGAGGGACTGTGAATCTGACTGTGCCAGGGCGGGGGCCAGGTGGATCCATGGCACTCTTATTTATTGGTCTTATTTAATTCGGAGCCGGCAGCCAGACCAAAGAGCGATGCCGGGCTCACTGCTGGGGCCAGGATCGTGACACCCCCCCAGGACTCCTGGGTCCCATCCCCAGCGACGGGGCCACGGGCTGTCCACTTTTGTGTGCCTCAGTTTCCCCACTGGGAGATAGGGGCGTGTTCCCATCCTGCTGAGGATTAACCCTCGAGTGTCTGAATTCTCTGGGACCGGAGGAGACGCTGTTACTTTTACAGTAATGGGGGAGGCAGGGGGTGAGCGTCCCATGGAGCCTTAGGACGCCTGGGTTCTACCCGGGACGCCTGGCTTCCTGAGCGGGGCTGGGGGCGGGAGGGGAAGCCGTGCGCCTACAGGCCTGTTTGCCGCCTGGGACAGGCCCCAACCACGGTGCAGAATTCGCCCCAAGTCAGCACCCTCCCCCCACCACACGGGGGCGCCGCTGGTCGAGCCAGTTGAATGCCCCCCTTTCATCTGGGTGTCGGGGCGGGCGTTTATCGAACCCTGGGTCTCGGTTCTCTTTTCAAACTACCTCACCACCCAGAGACAGCCGAGGGTCACTAATGCTGCTCGCCCCAGCCCCTTCAGAGAGCAAGAGGTTAAGGACAGGGCTGTCGGGGGGGGGGGGGCACCTCCCTGAGCGCGGAGTGGGAGACAATCCAGGTTAGGTGCCCCCTCGGAGCCGGAGAACGCTCTGTCCGCCCTGTCGAGAAATCCTGGAGCCTCTGCTTCCTCCTCCAGAAACGTCTAGATCTCGTCCCAATGGCTCTTTCTCCCCTCCAGAAAAATCCTCGTGCCTGTGTGTTTTCATCCAGAAACTGCTAGTTCCCACTCCGGCGCCTCCTCTAGAAAAATCCCGACACCTCTGCTTCTGCCTCCAGCTATCTCTAGATCTCAGCCCGGTGGTGCCTCTCTCTCCTCTAGAAAAATCCCAGCGCCACCACTTCCTCCTCCAGAGATCTCTAGATCTTGCCCCGACGCCACCATCTCCCTTCTAGAAAGATCCTTATGCCTACATGTTTTCCTCCAGAAACCTCTACATCCCACCCTGATGGCTCCATTTCCCTATCTATCTCATAGAGCTGGAAGGGACCTTGAAAGGTCATCAAGTCCAGTCCCCTGCCTTCACAGCAGGACCAAGTACCGTCCCTGACAGATTTTGCCCCAGATCCCTAAATGGCCCCCTCAAGGATTGAACTCACAACCCTGGGTTTAGCAGGCCAATGCTCAAACCACTGAACTATCCCCCCCAGAAAAGTCCCAACACCCCCAGCCACATCTGCACAGCTCCCCCACCACTGTGGCCTTAGCACTCAATGCCTCTTCAGCCAGTGCCTTAAACTCCCACTCCCCCCCGGTGCAGCCCCCTGGCTTCACAGTAGCCATCTCCTGCCCCGCAAATTCAACCGCAACCCTGGTGAGTCTGCCCCCGCCCTGACACAGCAGTTATATTGGCAGAAAGGGGCCCTACAGAGACTCAGGACTCCTGGGTTCTCTCCCCGGCTCTGGGAGGGGAGTGGGGCCTAGTGGTTAGAGCTGGGAGCCAGGACTCCTGGGTTCTCTCCCTGGCTCTGGGAGGGGAGTGGGGCCCAGTGGTTAGAGCTGGGAGCCAGGACTCCTGGGTTCTACCACCAGTGCTCCCATCTTCGCCCTCTCCAGGAACTGGTTTCTCCCTTTTTACTGATGTAATTTGGGTTTTCATTTTGGAAGGAAGCATTTGAGAAACAAACATTTTCAGGCTTCCCTCCACCCCCTGCCCAAAATACAAAACCCTCAAATGGGAAATTCTCCCTGTTTCAAACAAAAATCTGCTCCCCCCCCCGCCCCATGTTCTGATTTTTTCGGAAAAGTGTGTGGGGGGGAGGCCCCCAAAATGACTTTTGTTTTGCCAGTGGGGGAAATTGGCTGCCATGATAAACAAATCAAGGCTCAGTCCAACTAAAGCTACCGCGCCACAACAGATCTGTCAGAATCCTCCGGTTCCGGGTCTGGCCCGGAGCCGAAGAAAACAATGACGTTTTGCGAGCCACCCGGGGGAACACCCCCCTTCCCAAAATTGGGCGATCACGCAACCGACTCAGAGCGACTGATCTCTTCTTGGGCCGACAGCTGGGGAAAGAGACATGTTTCCAAACTTGTGCAGAGCTCATGTCTTTCCCCTGGCAGTCGGGCTGGGAAAAGAGACGTGTCCTGTCCAGCCAACGCTGCCAACCCCCTCTTGTGTCCCCCCCCAAATGTCCTTTCCCGGAAGGAGAAACAAGAAAAAGACCATTTTGGAAAGCGGGATTTTTGCCTTCATGGGAGGATCTCAAAACTCAGCTTTCCCCCTTACTAACTCTCAGGACGTTTGCCAAACCGTCGCGTTTCCTTTTCAGGGCCTGGCATTGCCTGGGGCTCGGGGACGCTGGTAGAAGGGGCCCGGGTTCAGATTCTGGGGTGGGTGGGTTCTAGGCCTGGTTAATTCAGGGCTGGCCTGGATGGAATAATCGCACCGGGGACAGCCCCCCGAACTGAAAACCCTCATCCCGCCAGCCCCTAAAGTCCGCGTCTTGGTCCATTGATCCTGCCTGGATTCACGTGACTCCAGATGCACGAGGCTTTACGGGGGGGGAGCGGGGATAAAAGGGCCCCTCAAAGCACTATTTTGGTCAGCACGTCGTCCCCAATGCTACGGACAAAGCCAAAAGACCCCCCCCCATTTCAGCAGGGGTTCCTCCCCATGACTGGGGGGGGGGCAGCGCAAGGTGAAAGCAATGCATGGAGCCGGTGGCTTTTGTACGGTCGCTCTGGGTTTCAATAAATAACAACCGGACTTTTTCCCCCTGCCTGAGTCGTCTGTGTGTGTGGGTCAGAGGGAAGGGGGGTCTATGAGGGGAGGGGGAGGCTGGGGGTTATGGAGGAGGCAGGGGAGGGAAGTTAGGGGGTGAGTGGAGGGGAAGGGGAGATGGAGGAGACAGCGGAGGGAAGTTGGGGGGGTGAGTGTGGAGGAGGGGGGGTTAAGAGGAGGGTGTTGCAGGGAGGGGAAGGGGGGAGGGACGGGGCATGGGGTTGGGGGCAGGGCCCTAGCGGTACATTACCCACCATAGAGAGGCAGCTTGAGCCAGTCCCCGAAACAGCCCCTCCCCCACAGCACAGCTAGGCTGCCCTCCTCTGACTTGGGGGGGGGGTCCCCACACCCCCAAAGGTGCGTCGGACTCAGAAAATGCCCCCACACCCCCCCAAATGGCTGCATAGGAACCACAGACCAGGCACCAGGCGGACGCAACATTGCCTGAGTTTGCCGAGAGCCTGCGCCCATTGCTCGGCGAGGCAGGCCGGCCCCAACCGTCGCCAGGTTTCCCCCCCGTCCCCCAGCTCTCCCGGTGCCCCTCACTCCCAGCCCTGGCTGGGGCCATTCGCAGAGCCCAACTTCCCCAGGCCCCGGGAGCTCAGCGTTGGTCGGTGGTTTTTTCTGCGCTTCCTGTTGAAAAAAGTCCCCGCAACGCGGAAGTTCCCTGGGGCGAGCTCAGGGTGGGGAGAGACCCCGAGAACCCGCTGGGGGCTGGAGCCAGGAGCCAGCATGAGCCGGGGGTCCAGGTCAGGGGCACGAGGGCAGCAGGAGAACATCCCCTCCCAGCTCCTCCGGGATCATGAAAACCAGCAGGTGTTTGAGCTCCTGGGCCGGAAATGCACGGTGAGGCGTGAGGCCCAGAGGGTGCTGACACCAGGAGCTGGGGGTTGGGAGTGGGGGGCACCTGCAGAGCGTGCGGGGGAACCCAGGGCTGCAGGTCGGGAGTTGGGGGCACCGGCAGAGCTGGGGGTACCCCAGGGCTGGGCTGGCAGGGGGCTGCAGGTCAGGAGTGAGGGGCACCGGCAGAGTTGGGGAGCAGACTAGGACTGGGCTAGCAGGGGGCTGCAGGTCGGGAATGAGAGGGACTGGCAGGTCGGGAGTGGGGGGCACCAGCCGGGCTGGGCACAGGGGAGCACTGGGCTAGCAGGGGGCTGCAGTGAAGCAGGGGCACCAGCAGAGCTTGGGGGAGCCCAGGGCTGGGATAGCAAGATGTGGATTGGAAGTGGGGGGCACTGGAAGAGGTGGGGGGGAGCCCAGGGCTGGGTGAGTAAGGGGTGCGGGTCGGGAGTGGGGGGCACCGGCAGAGCTGGGGGGGGGGGAGCACTGGGCTAGCAGGGTCCTGCAGTGGAGGGGGGGCACCAGCAGAGCTGGGCTAGCAGGGGGCTGTGGGTCAGGAGTGAGGGGCACCTTCATTGCTGCATCCCTCCCCTTCCGCTCAGGAGGAAGTGGGGTGAGCGGTGCTGACGGGGGCTGTGAGGGGCCCGGCGCGGTGACGCTGGGGAGCCCGGAGCCTCGGCCAACATCGGAAACCAAGACAGGAACTGGCAGCCCCGGGGGGCCACGCTTAGGGCCAGACGAGCCCTTCCCCCATGGCGTTCTGTGCGGCTGTTCCCCAGCCGCCCCAGAGCTGGCTGCATCTCAGGCGCGCTCTCTCTGTAACTCGATTGTCTCTGTGCCAGACCCTGGCCACGTCGGTGGCCCAGCTGTACCAGGCCATGCCCCCCAACAGCCAGGTGTGGGGTAAGCAGGGCTGCGGGGTCCTGTGCCTGGTCAAGGACAACCCCCGGCGCTCCTACTTCATCCGCCTCTTCGATCTCAAGGTGAGTCTCTGTCCTCCTCCCGGCAGCTCCCCATCCCTTCCCAGCACTGGCGAGAGAACCCAGGAGTCCTGGCTCCCAGCCCCCAACCCCCTGCTCTAACCACCAGACCCCACCCCCCTCCCAGAGGCGGGGAGAGAACCCAGGAATCCAGGCTCCCAGCCCCCCGCTCTAACCACTAGACCCCAGTCCCCTTCCAGAGCTGAGAGAGAACCCAGGAGTCCTGGCTCCCAGCCCCCCTGCTCTAACCACTAGACCCCACTCCCCTCCCAGAGTCGGGCAAAGAACCCAGGCATCCTGGCTCCCAGCGCCCCCTGCTGGCGGGGTGCTAACCGGGGTTCCCCTTTCTCTTGCAGGACAGGAGGCTCACGTGGGAGCTGGAGCTCTCCAGCCAGCTGGTCTATTCTGCTGTCACCCCCTATTTCCATACCTTCCCCGGGGACGTGAGTATCTGCCCCAGAGGGGGCCGGGGGGCCGGGGTGGGGGGTTGATCAGTGGGGCGGGGCTTCCAGACATAGCCCTGCCCCCGGAGACAACAGTTCAGAGACAGGGGGGTGAAAAGAAGGAGAAAATTGAGGGCTACCAATAAGAAGTGAGGCTGGAAACCCGTATGCCTGGGTTCTCTCCTGGCTCTGGGAGGGGAGTGGGGTCTAGTAGTTAGAGCAGGGGGGGCTGGGAGCCAGGACTCCTGGGTTCTCTCCCCAGCTCTGGGAGGGGAGTGGGAGCTAGTGGTTAGAGCAGGGGGCTGGGAGCCTGGATTCCTGGGTTCTCTCCTGGCCCTGGGCCCCCCCAGGACCAGCGAGGTGCCTTTTGCTTTCAGGAATGCCAGGCCGGGCTGAACTTTGCGGACGAGGCTGAGGCCCGCGACTTCTATGCGCTGGTGGAGGAGAAGATCCAGAAGCGACAGCAGCGGATGGGTACGTGGAGGGGTTGGGAGCCGGCCAGCGCCCCCTAGAGGGGACAGGCCCCGTGCCCCATTCCCCGCCCCCCTGAGCCAGCCCGTGCCAGGGTCACAGTGCTTGTTCTCCTCTTTCCTCAGAGAAACGGCAGCTTCCCCCGCCACCTCCCCCGGTCAATGAAGGTGAGTCCCCCTCTATCCCACAGTCCTTTGCAATGGGGGGGGAGGGGCAGGTTAGGGGTAGACCCCCCACCAAACTCTCCCACTGGGGGTGGGGGGGCTGGTGACATGGGTCTAACCCCGGCTCTTTTTGTCTCCTTTAGAGCGACGGGCGACGACGCTGCCCCGATCCCCAATGCACGGGGGAGACATGAATGGTAAGTGCTTTGGAGGTGGGGGGCTTGAAAAGGTTAATTCAGCCCCCCACCCCTCCGCCCCACGACGCCCCCCCAGCGCCCGGCCCTGACTACCAGGGGAGAGCGCCCCCTGCCTCACTCCCTGCCCCACGACGCCCCCCAGCGCATGGCCCTGACTGCCAGGGCAGAGCACCCCCTGCCCAGCCCCCCACCCTGCTCCCCACAGCATGGTGCCCCCCAGTGCCCGGCCCTGACTGCCAGGGGAGAGCACCCCCTGCCCAGCCCCCCAACCTGCTCCCCACAGCCCCATTTCTCTCTCCCGCAGGTCCCAGCAAACAGCCGAATTCCCCCTCCGGCTCCTTGAACCTGATGACAATGGACATCCAGAACCCGGACATCACCTCGTCTCGGTACCGGGGGCTGCCGGTGCCCACAGTCACCGAGAAGAAGAAGGGCAAGAAAAAGATCTCCAAGGCCGACATCGGCGCCCCAAGCGGATTCAAGTGAGAGCTGGCATCAGGGGGGCCGGGAATGGGGCGCGGGGCCTGGCCCCTCTAGGGGGTGCTGGCTCCTGTCTGGCCCCAGGGCGGGGGGCTGGCTGGCTCAGGGGGGCCGGGAATGGGGCACGGGACCTGGCCCCCTCTAGAACTGGCTAATCTTTGTTCTCCTTCCAGGCATGTCACCCACGTCGGATGGGACCCCAACACCGGCTTTGACGTATGTAGCTTCAGAGACGGGGCATGGTGGGGGTCTGACCCTGGGGTCCCAGGGATCAGAGGGGCTGGGAAGGGGGCCAAGGACGGGCCGTGGGGTAAAGCTTCGGCGTTAGCAATGTCTGTGTACAGTGGGAAGGGCGGGTTTCACTCTGCTTGTGGCTACCAGGTGTGATGCGGGGTGTGACTGGGCTTCAGTTGCTGTGTGTGGCTGTTTCCCGGCTGCCCCGCCCCAGAGGTGGCTGCATCTTAGCATCCGGTGAGCCATCCCTATGCAGCGTTATGTGCGGCGGTTCCCCAGCTGCCCCGCTCTAGAGGTAGCTGAATCTCAGTGCCAGGCGAGCTATCTCCATGGGGTGTCATGTGCAGCTGTTCCCCAGCTGCCCCGCACCAGAAGTAGCTGCATCTCAGTGCCCCATGGAGCATTATGGGGGCAAATTTGGGGTTTGCTTGAGCCAGGACTGCCCAAGATACCGCCTCCCTGTGGCCCTCCGTCCCCCCAGCTTTTTCCAAACTCATCTTGTTCTCCCAACGCACATTTGCCCTCAACTGGGGTCAGACCCTGGCTCCGAGCTCCCCCCGCCCTGCCCGCCCAAGCTGCTCAGGGAGTTGGCAGCGTGGCCGTTATTGGCGGTGAGATTGGTGCGTGCCCACAGGAAAGGGGCAAGTCACAGCCAGCCAGAGGCACTGCCGGAGCTAGCGGGCGTCTGGATGGCACAAGGGGCAGGGCGCGGTCCTAGCGCCAGGATGTTTTTCGGACTCCAGACAGTGTGTTTTCTCCTTGGGGCTCAACTGGGAATTAACACCGGGCCTGTGGCATGCCGCAGTTGGCGGCTAGGTGATCTGGCCTGCAAAATCGATTGCCAGGTTCTCTCGGGACTGTCCCTTTTTTGCTGCAGCTTGTCGGGAAGTCTGGCCGAGGCAGCCAGTGTCACGGGCTCTGGATGGCATGGGGTTTTTCCCTGGCCCTCAAAGGCAGCGGCCCAATAATCTGGTCATGAGACCCTGCAAGAGGATGCGTCGTATGACACTGAGCTCAGCCACTTCTGAATGCAGCCACTTCTGGGGCGGAACGGCTGGGAACAGCCCCATATAACGCCACATGGGGAAGGCTCGCCTGGCGCTGAGAGGCAGCCAGCTCTGGAGCGGGGTGGCTGGGAACAGCCCCATATAACGCCACATGGGGAAGGCTCGCCTGGTGCTGAGATGCAGCCAGCTCTGGGGTGGGGCAGCTGACATCACCTCCCAGTCGGATCCCTCCAGGAACATCTCCCAGCCGCTTGCTCTGCCCAGTGGGTTAGGCTTTGAGGGGGTCAGTATTAGGGGGTCTGAGGCTGCTGGGGGGGGCTAGTTTAAGGCATGATCCATAAAACCCCCATCCCCGGATTTCAGGGGTTGAAGCTTTGTGCTTTGTCCATCTGGGTACCTGCAGCTGGGGGTGGGGAGTGGGGGGCGTGAACTTGGGGGGTGTTCGCCCGGGGATTGAGCTGCCTTCCTCCATCCGTCTCTCTCCTAGGTGAATAACCTGGACCCCGACCTGAAGACGCTCTTCTCCCAGGCCGGGATCAGCGAGGCACAGCTGACTGACGCCGAGACCTCCAAACTCATCTACGATTTCATCGAAGGCCAGGGCGGGCTGGAGGCTGTGAAGGAGGAGCTGAGACGCCAGGGTGAGCTCTCCCTGTGTGGCGTTATGTGCGGCTGTTCCCCAGCTCCCCATCCCCAGAGGTGGCTGCATCTCAGCGCTGGACGAGCCATCCCTGTGTGGCGTTATGTGCGGCTGTTCCCCAGCCGCCCATCCCCAGAGGTGGCTGCATCTCAGTGCTGGGCGAGCCATCCCTGTGCGGCGTTATGTGCGGCTATTCTCCAGCCACCCTGCCCCAGAAACAGCTGCATCTCAGTCCCGGGCAAGCCGCCCCATGTGGTGCTTTGGGATCCGCAGGGAACAGGGTGGGGGAAGAGACTCGTTATAGGCTGGGCTTTAATTGCAGTTCGTTTCTCCCCACAGGTCCAGCACCTCCTCCGCCCCCCATGACCCGATCTGGGCCCCTCCCTCCCCCACCCCCTGCCTCAGCGAGGGGCAGGTCTGGCCCGTTGCCCCCGATCCCAGGCGGCCCCCCACCCCCGTCATCTATGCCAAATAGGGGGCCCGTTCCCTCCCAGCCTCCCAGGGGGCATCTGCCCCCCCCTCGTGGGCCCCCTCCCCCTACCTCCCGGTCTGGTCCGCCCCCCCCTCCGCCTGCTTCTGGGGCAGCCCCCCCACCCCCTCCTCCCCCACCG